ACCAAGCCTTGGACCTTATCCTGCATGACCCCTTCAGACGCCTCTGTTTATGGTCTCTTCCCTCAGGTCTGTGGGAGTGAGAGCAAGCAGTCCTTCCTGGCTTGACTGGGCTGGATGACCATGTTTGCTATATGGGGGCTTTTAGCCCTTTTTCATTAAATTGCCTTCGTTGTTGTTTTTTTTCTGGAAGCCTCCTCCAATCAGGTGGAGAATTTGGAGAGTACTACCTTGAGGTTTTCTATCTACTTCATAGCCCGGATTATGTTCTGATTGCCATCCAGGGATGTTTTATCTTATAGTCCATCAATAGGACCAACACTTTATAGAACTGAAAAGTGGTAAACATTTCTTCAGAACAGAGATGGGGTAACTCTTTCTTTAGTGAACATGCAGTTCTATGCAAAAGAGAGGAAATATTAATGTTAATGTTCAGTATACGTATTTATCCCGGATGTGCTATGTTATGTCTTCGAAGAAATTATTACTATTTAACAACTAGTTATTTAAACTGTGATAAGCCTAGATTTGTTACTCATACCCGTTTATCTCCTTGTCTGCTTTACCTTGTTGATGAAAATGCCTAATAAAATAAGATTGAACATAAACTGTGATAAGCCTCAGCCAATTCTGGGAGTTAAGCCAAATCAGTATCTTACACCTTATCTATGTATACAATACAGATTGCACTGAATTTCTATATTGCACCCTAATTGTAAGAGAATCAAGTCTCAAATTAAGCTCTATTTAAACATAACCTTTGTATTAATTATTTTCTATGGTCACTTCAAACCCTTAGGGCCCGTTCGTACCTCTGCATGTGTTGTCATTGAGTTGTTGTGCGCCTCTACTATTTTTGACAATGTCATGCACCAAAACACAGTATTCCCAACTATGCGTCATGGTGTATCATAACGTAGATGAGTTTGGTTTTTTTTAACCTACTAAATGTGAATTGGATCAGCTCTGTCCAGTGTAGCTCCATTCTACCCAAAGGTATATATTCAAGTGTGTTAGCTTGAGTGATCCCTTGGAGGAAAGAAAAGAAACAGAAAAAAGAGAAAGGGGAGTTAGAACAGAGTGGGAGAGAGAAAGTGGGGGAGTGGGATACACAAGGTAGAGGTACGTACAGCCCAAACAAGGAGATCGCGCCTGGAAAATGGGGGTCGCGTGAGCATCTGAGTCATCGATTTCCTTATGTAAATGGAATTATTTTTTCTGATAATTGTGTATAGGTGGACATTGCTATCACATGTGGAGCATTCTACCTGTAGTGGCCTTACTGCATAAATCAGGGGTGGCCGGGTAAATTCTGTGCAACATATATGGACATCAATAGAATTTTGTTAGGACTTTATACAACCCCAATTTTAAAAAAGTTGGATCGCTGTGTAAAATCTACATAGAATCAGAATGCAATATTTTGAAGATTTTATAAACCCATATTTTATTCACAATAGAAAATAGAAAACACATCAAATATAAAACTGAGAAAATTTACCATTTTAAGAATACAATAAGGTAATTTTGAAGTTGATTGCAGCAACTCGTCTCAAAAAAGTTGGCACAGGGCCAAGTTTACCACGGTGCAATATCCCCTCTTCTTTTAACAACACTCTGTAAACTTTTGGGATCTGAGGAGAAGAGTTGCTGGAGTTATGGGAGAGGAATGTTGTCCCATTCTTGCCTGATATAGGATTCTAACTGCTCAGCAGTCCTGGGTTGTCTTTGTCGTATTTTTCTTTTTAAGATGCACCAAATCTTTTCAATTGGTGAAAGGTCTGGACTGCAGGCAGGCTAGTTAAGCACCCGGACTCTTCTACTACGTTGTCATAGATGCGGTTTGTGGTTTAGCATTGTCCTGCTGAAATATGCAAGGCCTTCCCTGAAAAAAATGTTGTCTGGATGGGAGCATACACTGCTCTAAAACCTAAATATATCTTCCAGCATGGATGGTGCGGTTCCAGATGTGCAATCTGCCCATTCCATACGCACTAATGCACCCCCATACCATCAGAGGTACAGACTTTTGAACTGAGCGCTGATAACAAGCCAGAAGGCCTCTTTTCTCTTTAGTCCGAAGGACGTGGTGCCCATGGTTGCCAAAAAGAATGTCAAATTTTGATTCCTTCTAACAGTTTTCCACTTTGAGACAGACCATTTTTAAATAAGCTTTGGCACAGAGAAGATGATGGCGTTTCTGGATCATGTTCAGATATGGCTTCTTCTTTACATAGATCTTTCACTTACATTTTGGGATGGCATAGTGAACTGTGTTCACAGACAGTGATTTTTGGAAGTATTCCTAAGCCCATGCAGTGATGTCCATCACAGAATCTTGACTGTTTTTAATGCAGTGCTGTCTGAGGGCCTGAAGATCACTGGCATCCGATATTGTATTCTGGCTTTGTCCCCTCCGCACAGAGATTTCTCCAGATTCTCACATTCTTTTGATGATATTATGTACTGTAGATGATGATATAGTTAAAGTCTAAGAACATTATTCTAAAATTGTTCGACAATTTATAGACGCAGCTTTTCACAGATTGATGAACCTCTGCCCATCTTTACTTCTGAGACACTCTGAGCCCTCGTTCACACCTGAACGTTTTGTAGCGGGTTCTACGCTCGACGAACGCTCTACAAAACGGCCCGTCTCTAACGCTCTAAAAAACGGCCCACGCCTGAAAAGGTACATGTACTACTTTGGGCCGTTTTGTTGCGCGTTTCCATTGGGATACAGCCAAGTAGCCTTCGGAAACGCGCGTTTGTAGCGCTACTTTTTTTACCGCGAATCGCGGTAAAAAGACGCTCGACAGACGCGCATATTCAATACGCCTAGGTGTAAACGAGACGTTAGATGTTCTTTTTATACCCAATCACTGGCGGAATTACCAGGGTCGCAGCGTTCCGCCACTTGGGGGGGCACAGCGAGGAAGAAGAGCCCCCCCCGAGATAGTGCCGCTCCATCCCTGCCGCACAGCCGCCCGCAGCATGTACGGGAGGCTGTGCGGCGGGGCTGGAGAGGCTGTCACTGGTCCCGCAGAATGTGCTGCAGGCACCGCCGGGCAGCACATTCTGCTGTGTGAGGACCCTCTCCTCTTAGCCCCTCCCCTGGCTGCTATGGTATTCTGCACAGCTGACTTTTATTATAATGTAGCTGGTAATATTCTGCATTGATGTATGATGATTATACAGTAATGCAGAATAGCTCCAACTATGTAGGACTGCAAGTCCCAGCAATACATTATAGGGGGGCCGTGGTATTCTGCATAGCTGACTTTTATTATAATGTATTGCTGGGACTTGTAGTCCTGCATAGCTGGTGGTATTTTGCATACCTGTATGATGATTATACAGCAATGCAGAATAGCACCAACTATGTAGGACTACAAGTCCCAGTAATACATTATATTTTTAAGTAGGGATACACCACTGCCAATACTGGGCATTTTCACGAGTACTACCGCAGATACCGGTGTTCTGTCGAGAACGCCAATGTAGTCGAATTTGCTGACCTCAGCATCTGCGCTTGCGCACAGACCAGTATTATTGAGGAAACCGGGATTTATTCACAAAGTATTTTGTTTAAATTGTTAATTCCATCCTTCATTCACTGCCATGGACGGTATATTATTAACGGTCACAATTAACCATTACAAACAAATTCTTTGTAAATAAATTCTTGATTCCTCGTTAATTCCGTCTGTACACAAACGCAGATACTGGGTCGGCGTTCTCGACAGAACACCGCACTAAAATTTTAAACAAGCGGCTGCCTGAGGTCCCGCGCTTGCTGGGGCCCTCGGCAGCCTTCCTGTTAACCATGCGGTGCCATGGCGGTTGGGGGTGGGGCCTTCATGGTTTCTTGCACCGGGGCCCTGAAGGTGCTAGTTACTCCTCTGTACCCAATCATGTTACTGACCTGTTGCCAATTAACCTACTTAGTTGCAAAATGTTCTCCCAGCTCTTCCTTATTAGTACCACTTACTTTGCCAGGTTTTTGTTGTCCTGTCCCAAGTTTTTTGAGACTTGTTACTGCCATCACTTCCAATTACCTTATGTTTTCTTGAAATGGTACATTTTCTCAGTTTAAACATTTGATATGTTTTCTCTTATGAATAAAATATGGGTTTATGAGATTTGCAAATCATTGCATTCTGTTTTTATGTAGATTTTACACAGCGTCCCAACTTTTTTGGAATTGGGGGTTGTAGCCTATCTGTTCCCTTCTAATAGCCATTCAGGTCAGAGAGAAATTTCTAGTATTAAAAAATTCTGGTATTTGTGTGCTACCCACTGTTATTTTCTATTAACCTCCTTCACCCTCTATCTATCCCAGTGCACCTTCAGTGTTACCTATAACTCTACATCCTCATCTCCTCTTCCTGTGGGGGTCCCCCAAGGCTCTGACCTTGGGCCCCTTCTATTCCCCATCTACACCTCTTCCCTGGGTCAGTTGATAAACCTCCAATGGCTTCCAACTTTTTGCTGAAGACACCAAAATCTATCTCTCCACTCCTCAGCTCAACCCTTCTATTTCCTCATTGCGTCCCTAATCTACTCACTGACATATCAAGGATGTCACACCACTTCCTCAAACTAAATCTGTCCAAAAGTAAGCTTATAATATTTGCTCCTCTCCGTGTCCCCTCCCCGGACTTCTCCATCACAATCAACAGCACTACGATCAACCCCTCCTATGAAGCCAGGGTGCAAGGTGTAATCCTTGATTCTGAGCTCTCCTTTCAGCCCCACATGTTACAATTCCAAAAATGTGTTTATCCCTGCTATTCAGATAGGGCAACTCAATTATTATATATTACGATCTTCTTATATTATGATCTTCTATATCTGATCTGATAATAGATGTACATCTATATCTTTGGACAGCAAGTGATAGAAATTAGTACTGAAAATGATTTCTGATGTTTTCATAAAGTTTTGCTTTATTTTATTATATGTAACCTTGTTTATTTGTAACTTTTTACTTTCCTTCACAGGGGCCCTGGATAGTTCCCAGTATGGAAAGGTCCTGATGAAAGTTGGTCTTGCACTGATTGTGATTGGACACCTGAATTTTATCGTGGGGGCTATTATACATGGATTAGTGCTGAGACATGTTGGACGCCACTCACTACATTATTCTGTCACCAACATCATTGCCGTGGCATCTTCGATTCTGGTAGGCACAAACATTTATATCCACCTATATGGAAATGCATGGTGTGATTATAGCTACACTGATTGTATAATAACCTTGAAATACTTTTTCTGGTCTTCACTATCCATGAGAAATTATCCATAAGAAATTATAGTTTATAAGCCTAAAAGTGTATAAACTTTTAGGCTTTTGTTCCCCCCCCCCCCCCCCCCCCCCTTCCTTTTTTTCTGCTGCCCTATGAACTGGAACTGGCACTGGATGTCATTATAGTAAATACCTGTCCACATGAATAAATAGAACCTTATATTTGTATGTTTGCTGCTGCTTGGTGCTCCCAGGTTTTTGGTTTTAACAAGTAGTCTATTCTCCAGCAGGGGTAGTTATAATTGTTGTTGGGCTTACACAGACATTAGGAGGTATGAGAGAGAGAAACAAGTAAAAGGTATAGGACTTATTCCTGTGAACATGTGATTTTTTTAAATGGGTAGTAAGTAAGTGAAGACATTCTCTAGGACAGTGATGGCGAACCTCGGCACTCCAGCTGTTTTGGAACTACAAGTCCCATGAGGCATTGCAAGGCTCTGACAGCCACAGACGTAACTCCCAGAGGCAGATGCATGTTGGGATATGTAGTTTTGGCACAGCTGGAGTGCCAAGGTTCGCCACCACTGATCTAGGATGTGCAATTTTGCTGAGGAGCAGAAAATGACCAGAGGTACATCACTTCCTCCTCTATTACACAACATATGATTGCTTGGTTTATCCTGTGGAAGATTTCAAGAAGAACTCCAGGGGGAAAATGTTATTAGTCCTTGCAGTGGGGATACCCCCCACAATGCAAGAGTTAACTGCTCGTTTGTATCTAGATACTACAAAAAAAAAAAGTTATACACACCCGATCATTCCAGGCAGCTTGTTCTAAGACTGGTCCCTAGAGCCTCTCTTTCCCTGCTGTGCAGCAGTCTAAGAATCTTTGTGTCATCACATTCCATACAGTGTGTATAGGCGTGAGGACGCTGAGGAACATTCCATCTGTACAGTGGAGGTGGAGACATGCTTGAGTGACTGGAGAAGCAAAGGCAGTTCGAGTGATTATAACTTTTTAGCACCTAGACAAAAAGGAGTAGTTAACCCCTGCAGTGCCAATGTAGCCCTACTGCAAGGGTTAATACATTTTCCCCCCAGAGTTCTTTCATTCTTTAAGGAGGAGGAGCTACCCGTGCCCGATGCCCGCGCACCTGACAAGGAACAGCCCCCCTGGGTCCCTGACAGCCTTACATCACCAAGTGCAATGCAAAGCGTCGGGTGCAGTGGTGTAAAACATGCCGCCACTGGACTCTAGAGAAGTGGAGACGTGTTCTCTGGAGTGACGAATCACGCTTCTCTGTCTGGCAATCCGATGGACGTGTCTGGGTTTGGCGGTTGCCAGGAGAATGGTACTTGCCTGACTGCATTGTACCAAGTGTAAAGTTTGGTGGAGGGGGATGCGCTTCTGGAAGAATGGTCAAACATTCCCATAGACACACTTCTGAACCTTGTGGACGCCTTCCCAGAAGAGTTGAAGCTGTAAAGGTTGGGCCAACTCAATATTGAACCCTACGGACTAAGGCTGGGATGCCATTAAAGTTCATGTGTGTGCAAAGGCAGAGGTCCCAATACTTTTGGCAATATAGTGTATATATAGCCTGTGATAGGTCTTGTCTTTTTAGTAATTTGTTTTCTTAACAGTTATAAATAATCCACAGCTGTTACCCTGCTGTAAAACACTTTAGATGATGTACAAATGAGAATAATAATAACCTCAATATGTAACTAACAAACTCAAAAAACTATCCCTTTCTATCATACCACTTCACTAACGTTTTAATGGGTAAAATGAGTGCAACAAAAAAAATAAAGAGAAAAAGCATACAAAGAGTAGGGCACTAGTGAAATGTTACATTGCCACACATGTAGCCATAGGCATTTGTTGTTTAAAGCATGATAAGTACTCTTGGCATATGAATGCAATTTTAGCATAGCAAGCAAATCACATTATTCAGTTGAGCAAAGCATCTTCTAGCAGTAGACATGAAATATCTGTATATTTGCACTGAGAATGAAAGTACATAAGAGAGTAAACAAACTCATGCGCATTCCCTTAGTGTGTTAGCGTGCCACTGAAAATGAATGGCATCTCAACACGCTAATGTGCGTTAACATGTGTTGCAGTAACGCTTGTGTGAAAAGGCCACTGAACTGAACGTTCAATTGAGCATGAGAATGTTTTAACTTTTTTTTTTCCCTTTACATACCTGGAAGTCAGAGTTTGTTTGACCTTGGCTGCAATCCAATGATGGATGGACATTACACAGGCCTTATATGTGCCTCCAGTAGCACTGCCAAATGACAACACCGCCTGTAGTCCAGAGGACTACAAGGTTTGTGGCTACGGCTGCCTGGGCACCAAGCAAGGGTTGAATGATGCCCAGAAGCAGGATGGCCACTACTGGACCATACAGAGTTTGAAACTTAAAAAAGAAACACTGGGCGCCTTTCCTGGTGCAAATAATCCTTTTGTTTAGAAAGATTAAAAGTGATAAATGGTACTCACAAAAGAGGTGGATAAAAAGCGAAAGAGAACAACAATTGCAGCAGATACTTTATATCTTGTCCACCAAAAGACATCAGGGCTCTATTTGTATATACAGTACCTCAAAAATGTGTAATATTTTTAGCATTTTCTTTTTACAAATAATGTTTATCAGTTTTTTCTCTTCTGTCCCTCAGACTATATCCTGTGGAATAGTTGCAATTGTTCTCTCACGGTACCTCAAAAAAACTACCCTGGTAAGAAAGAAAACGTGACCCTCAGACTATGTTGGCAAGTGATGAAATAGCTGGCGTTATGATGCCATTTTAACACTTCACTAAATATGTATTGTAATTTTGTATGCTACTATGTATATATTGTATGTATTTTACCACTGAGCTTGTGTTGTGTCTTACAGCGTTGGGCAACACTACTTCTTAGTATAACTAACGCGGTGCTGTCTGCTGCCAGCACAGTAGGCATTGCAGTTTCCGTTGTTATGACTGTGGCTAATGGAGGTCGCACACTGCTGTCTTCCTGTACATTCACCCACCTGCAACTTATCCAGATTTCCTATGAGTGTCCTTTCGATCCTACAAGAATCTATGTAAGCTACAAACTATGGTTTGCTAAAAAAAAATTATATTTTTTTATGTATTGCATAAAATAAATTGAGTTAAAAATAGTTCTATTCACTTATTTTAGTGTAAAGCAGTTTTTTTTACATTTCTATACATACTGTGTCACTGCTGGTGCAAGGCATGCTGGGTTCTCAAAAGCAGAAAGCCCAACACAAGCAACTTCAAGGCACTTGGTTAGTTAGACTTTATATGTAAGCAGCAGACAATAATATGTGAGACTGGTGTTAAAATGATTTTATCCATTATGTCCCATCTTGAGATATACAATATATATATATATATATA